ATTAATGTAATGAAACACAATAGGATAGGCAATGGCCGAGTGATATTATCATTAGATTATTAATCAGAAGCTCAGCTAATGTTCTGGGGACCTGAGTTCATATCCTGCCATGGCAGATGATGGAATTTGAATTCAGTAAAGAATCTGGAATTAAGGATCGTTTGACCATAAAACCTTTTCTGATTTTCAGGAAAATCCCACCAGGTTCATTAATGTCCTTCAGAGAAAGAAATCTTCCTCCTAACATGGTCTGGCCTACATGTCACTCCAGACCCGCAGCAATGTAGTTGACTCTTAATTGCCCTCTGGGCAAATAGGGATGGATAATAAATGATTGACTAGCCAGAGACATGAATTAATTTAAACAAATTTTTTTTTAAAAAGTGTTACACCAAGCCACAATTGCAAATATTAGGTCAGCTGACTAAATACTTGGTCAAAGAGAGGTTTTAAGGAGCCTCTTAAAAGAGGAATGCAATGTAAGGAACTGTAGGGAAGATATTCCAGGGGTAACACTGAGGCAAATGATAGCATGGCCACCAATAGTGTGGAGCAATTCAAATTGGAGATGCCAAAATTAGAATACATATGTCTTGGGAACATTGTGGGACTAGAGCAGACCCCTGAGACAGAGATAGATGAGACCCTTGATGGATGTGAGAACAAGGGTGAGAATTTTTCAAATCAAGTGTTACTTGACACAGGTCAGTGTAGGTCAACAAACTTGGATGATAGGGGAAACGGTTTTTGATGCAAGTTAAGCTTTGGATGGTCTCATATTTATGGACAGTGCAGTTTGGAAGACCAACCATAAATGTGTTGAAATGTCAAGTATTATAGTAACAATGACACGACTTGAGGTTTTTAACAGCAGATGAGCCAATATGGTACATAATTGCAGTGTTACTGAGCTGTAAATAGGCAATCTTGATGACAAAAATATGTGGTTGGAAGCTCATTCCAAGTCGAATTTCACATTGAGATTGCGAACAGACCTACTTAATCCCAGACTGTTGCTGAGGAGAAGGATGGAGTTGATAGTACTGAAGTAGGGTCACTAGATGTAAAACATTAACTCTGCTTTTCTCCATAGATCCTGCCAGACCTGCTGAGCTTGACCAGCATTGTCTGTTATTGTTTCTGATTTCCAGCATTCACAGTTTTTTTTTGTTTTTTTTTAATATTCCTGAAAATGCTGTCTCACTGCTTCTTCCCTCTCGTCTCTCATTCCACCCAACCATTCCTCCCAGTGCCAATACGTAAAATCGTTGCCAACCAGATATCCTAAATAAATCTATAAATTTGTATATTAAAAATTCTGATCTCCACCTTGACCATTAAAAGGTAATTTTAAATACAATTATTTATGAAAACAATACCTGGGATAGAAGGGGAGTGCTGTAGGGATACATTTGGCCTAAAATATTTCTTTCTCAGAAATTATGGTTATGTGTTCTACTGAATAAAAGTCGAGCTGTGCAGGGTCAATTACTGAAAAATGATGTTATCAGTAGTGCATTTTGTTTGTTCTCCTTGTTCATCTGCAAATATTTTTGCTCAATTTTTTTCCATTCATTAACCAAAAACTCAAATCTCGTACTTCTGAAATCAAATCAAATAATTAACTGAAGATTTTTGAGCAGAAAATCCTCAAGTTCATCTTGTGAAAAGTTATCTTCATTCAATGCATAAAGTGGAATTCAGAATAAAGGCTGATTTGTAAATTTAACTGTGTTTAACCGCCTTCACGAATAATTTTTATTTTACAAAATGCCTTTGTTCGTGTCAGAACCAAATAATGTAAATCGCATCAACAATGCTGTCACTTTGGGGCAGCACGGTAGCTCAGTGGTTAGCACTGCTGCCTCACAGCACTAGGGACCCGGGTTCAATTCCACCCTCGGGCAACTGTCTGTGTGGAGTTTGCACATTTTCCCCGCATCTGCGTGGGTTTCCTCCAGGTGCTGTGGTTTCCTCCCACAGTCCAAAGATGTGCAGGCTATGTGGATTGGTCATACTAAATTGCCCATAGTGCTCAGAGATGTGTAGATTAAGTGGGTTATAGGTGGATGGGTCTGGGGGAGATGCTCTGAGGGTCAGTGTGGACTTGTTGGGCCTAAGGGCCTGTTTCCACACTGTAGGGATTCTATGATTCATCCTGAGGTTGTATGTAATGTTTTATTTATTTCATATAGCTTTGCTTCTTTTCTCCTCAGTCAAAAATCTAAGGCAAGAGCAGTAACCTTTTACTGCCACTAGATGTCTTGTTTTAGTATTTATGGATAGATTTTAGCCAGATCTAAAGGCAAAATATTTCGGTATGGCATTTGTTATGATGATCACTATGAAGCAACCTTTTCAATTTTAATTCCAAATTCTTGCAAACCGAAATTTGATCTGAATAGGTTGCCAATGTTTGAAAAGCAGCAGCTATCTCATGACGTAGGATATCATTAATTTTTCCTGTGGAGAAATGGCAGATTTAAAAGAACGTGCAAAGTTGAACTGTTTCAAGTCCAATATATATTGAGGTTTATGGAGGCGCATTGGTACAAGGAAATTCACAAAAGCTTTAATCTGTTGGATGATTTTGAGACTCAAAAAGGCAACTTTAAATATTCTGTGTGAAATTTGCATCCACAGGTATTTGATGTTCACTGGTAAAATTGCAATTACACAACAAAAATATAGCTTTGTATTATGTCACAAAGCCATGCAGCTTAGAGGGAACGTTAATCAACAGTGGTTACATGGTCACCATTAAGTCAGTTTTTATTCCAGATTTTATTGAGTTCAAATGCACCATCTGCCACAGTGAAATTCAAGCCCATGTCCCCAGAACGTTAGTATGGTATCCTGGAATGAAAATTCGATGACGTTACCACTACCCTCGAGCATTTCAAATGCATCTTTAATGTGATGCATGTAACATCTAAATTAGTAAATATAAAGCACAAAGTATAAGTTTTAAATCGAAATGGTATAAAAATTTGGAAAGACAGATGGGATTAAGAGAATACAAAACTTAGTGTTCTACATCTTCAATACTAACCTCTTGGGGATTGAGACTTTCAGCTCACCCCCTTCACTTTTTAAAATTAATTCTCCGTGTCAGAGAAGATGCTTGACAATAATTCGCACTTAACAAACCCCCATTAAAAATTCACTTATTCCTGAATGCACCAGCCCTAACTTTTCCAGATATCCTTTGTGAGGAATTAATAGACATGTACCTCAAGTTCATGGCATTGCATTCCTTATACTGTTGAATTTATCAGCAAGGACTGTAATAGTACAACCTGGGGAGGAGCACAATACCTCCGACAACAAATTTGGGATTTTCACATTTAACTGTTTGTGTGCAAAAGTTACAGACTGACTTACCTCATATTAGTAAGTGCTATTAATTTCACTATTTTATCCATGCAAGATCTGCCCGATGACTGCTAATCCTTAGCTATAAATAAATATCATCAATGATAATATTAAAACACCCCACTTGAAACTAATTTGGAGCATTCAAGAAAGCAATTTAGTTTACTATTTGAAATTTTGATAGATGTTCGTTTACCGTGAGTTATAAAGAACAAATGTGTTTTCTGATAAGTAAACCATTAAATTCAAATTTGTTATACCTGGCCAGGTGTTGTAAAACTTTTCTGCAAGTTCAAGTTTTTATGGGTTTCATTCCTCAAATTTCAGTGGTGCAGGAATATTGTTGTCACTGGTAGTGATGCACTCGAAGGAACATTCCTGAAATGTTACTCATGATTTTGGTTTCAAGTTGAGCGTATGTTCAGGATACACTTATTTCTATATAACTTTTGCCTGTCTTCCTTTCCCTCCTTCACTGCCCATGTTTGGAGATGTATGACTGCAGTGTGGGTTGGTTTCATTTTCTATTCCTGCTTCATGGTTCTTCTGACAGAGGAGCTCAGAAACCTGCCATGTGGACGATTGAAATGCTAACTGTGCTATACCAGTGATGTTATCCTGAATATAATGAAGGACTGTTCTCAATCTCTTCCCTCACCTGAGGCATGGTGACCCTCAGGCTAAACCATCACCAGTCATCTACCTCTAATGAGAGAGCAGCCCCATGGTCAGCTTGGACTGTGACAACGTTACCTTTACCAGTCAGTGGCCTGGTATGTTGACAGAATAATGTGCTTGTACCACTGTGCTGCTATTTGTGACAAAACAGTCTAAATGCAAATTTGTAGAATTAACTACTTTTGGAGATTCATAATAAGTCCATAATGAGTTAGTGGTCTTGAGTTGGTGGCGGAGGGGGTAGGAATACAAATAATGCAATGTTGTCCTTCTGATGCTGCATTTATAATGTTCTCGATTATTTCTGAGAGAAATTCTAAAAGCTTATGTACTCTCATGTTTTCACCACACTACATTATATCATGAGCAATGTGCTTGGAATGGGTGTTGATTAAGCATGTATTTCAAAATTTGACTTTGCATCAAAAGATAATTTTAAAAGCTTTTATTTTGTAGTGTCGGTTAATATAACCACCTGGATTTGTAGTATTTAGGAAAGGTCATGTAGCAGATTATTAACATATCTGTGTGAAGCAGTAAATGCCTCTATAAGTCTACCACAAATATTAGTACTTACTTTCCTGTAATGGTCATACCAAGCACAGTCTGGTTTCTTCTCTTCTCTCACCACCGATGCTTCCCCTCCCCCATCACAACTCAAAGAACAGAAAGAATTGACAGAGGACCTAACTAACCAAATGATTGATTTTGCACTTTGTCCATTGTGATAGGATGGGGAATGAAATTATATTAAAAAGGGTTCTCTGCCTTTGTGGTGAGTTTTGCCTGAATGATGTTGAAATGACATGCGGAGGCTGTCGCCATCATGCAATTTCCTTCTGTTCTGCTGATGGGACATTAATATCACCATCTGTTTCTTTGTCAAGCTGCATCCGTAGTAAAACTCTGTTCATCTGTTTGACTCCTGTCCTTTGTTTGCCTTGCAGGCCATGCAGTATTCAAGCTCACCTATCTAAGCAATCATGACCACAAACATCTCTACTTTGAAGCAGACACCAACACAGTCAATGAAATTGTGCTGAAGGTTGGTAACTGAGCACTCATTTTGCAAACTGGTCACCAAAGAAAAATTGGTTCCTAATGACAGCATGACAATAAATTATGTCTGTAAGATTATAATGTATGTTCCCTGTAAAAATTCAAAGATGATTTCTGACCTGTTCAAGGTATGCGGTATCATTACTGCATTTCAACAGTAAAAGTCATCAGCTGCATCCTTTATAAAGTGTCTCAATTTGCATCTTGGAAATACTAAACATTTTACAAGTGAAAATAATTTAAAACTGTTCTTCCATAAGTTTGTCCACACACAATTAATGCGTTTTCTAAATCAGTTGACTGTCCTTTTCTATAAATGACCATTTTGTGTTAGGAAGGTAAGCACGTTTTCTTTTATCGTAGTACTCCCCACACTGATGCTGTCGGTTATGTTGAACTGTGTTTGCAAGGTACAACACTCCCATATTTACAGTTAAACAGGGCTGTCAATCTCCAGACACCAGCTACAATCAGGAATTTTGAGTAGGCTTAACTCTGTGGGACATGTGAACAAAGATCTTGCAGCATAACATCAAAACACTGGATAAATCCTCATAACAGGGGAAATATGACAGTATACCTTTTGTTAAACCATGGGCAGAAAGATTATAATTGTAGCAACAGATTTGTACAAGCTTCCTGGGTGCTTTAGATTGCCTAGTTCACCACAACATAAAATAAATAAATTGAAATAGTGATTAAAAATGTAGAATTACTCTTTTTTTTCAGTGTTATGTTGCAGACAAAATATACATGTTGACTCTGCTGAACAGTTTTACTGGATGCCAAAGTAACTTGGCAGTAAGGAAAACCCAGTTTTTATTCACAAAATGTATTTAGCTACTGACATAAGCAAATCCAGTGAACTGCTTGAGACCTCATGTTGAAAGCTAATGGCATCAGTTGAATATAAAAGCAGCTTTATTTAACTTGAAGATCAGTGACCTTTTTTTTGAAATGGAATGGTACTGATTATCTGAGTGTTGATTAAAAATGTTTTAACTTTTGAAAAGGCAACTTGTATTTCCTAACAGTGGAACATCATGATATTGTTACTGGAACAAAGGTATTAAGGCTGACCAAAATAATTAATTATTATGATTTTAATTTTTTGTTGTATTGTCTTTTCAACACCACTGTGATTATTTTTACATGCACACACAGTTTATATGTTTGGCTTTTCAACAGCATTTTATAGATTCTATTAAGCATCAAAATTACAATTAAAACATAACTGATAAAGTGCTTAAATGAAATGCTTTAACTTATCAAAATGAAAATCTTCTATGTAAAAACATTAACATTGAAACAAATGTAATATTTAATTCAAATTGCATTTAAATTGAATGATGTTCCATTTTAGTGACAAAAATATATGAATCTCTGGAAAGAGAGAGAACAAGAGTACATTTTGTGCATCTAATTTTTTAGTAAACTCAAATAATTTTGAGTGTGTTTTAGGAGGAAATTGTAACAGGTGACATGCCAGTTTGATTATTTCTCTTGCTATGTTATAGTGTAAACTCTTGAATTTCCTTTACATCAACAAATTCTGCCATTTTATTGAAGTTCTGTCACATCTTCTCACTGTTTTTAAAACTCTCCCCAATATTGTGAAATTGAACTGTTGCACATATGATCATAGCATTTTCATGCCTGCGGGGTCTCAGCTTTTAACTCTTAATGAATATTAACTAGATGAATTATCATTATGATGGGTAACATCAATATAAAGTGAACTGTAGCAGTGACAATTCTCTTGCAAACTTCTAATGAATTTGAAACATGTTCCATGAATAAATTCTTGTTTTCAATTCAGCTGCCTCAACAACAGCTAAATATAACCTTCAATGAAAATGAGATGCACAGGCATCGCAAGGGATTAAAGGATTACCTGAAAGGTCAATATTAATATTAGTGTAGGCAGCTAGAGTAAGAAGTATTTATAGTCTTAATTGTTGTAATCAAGGGACACTCAAAGATTTATGTAAATAATATAATGTTATACAGATTCATTGACCTAAAGATCATGTAAATCTATTGCGATGTCACTTACCCTCAAGTATATTGAAGCAAGTTTAGATTTAACTGGGGGGGTGGGGGCTGTATAAATAGACTTGTGGCCTTGAAATCAAAACCATACAAAATAGCAATATTTAATTGATACTTCATCAGATTAGTAGATCAAAATCCCAGTCAGGAAAATTTGGCTTCTTGGGTAGAAACAAAGGAAATATTTAAATTAATTTAGGGAACCTTTAATGGACTGAACTGGGAGCTTATAATTTGAGGCATTGGCTTTATAAATTATTGTTTTGTGCTTTTCCAGTCAGTCTGGAAAAGATTTATGATTAAATTTTTCCGTCTGCCATTATAATTTTGGATAACTGTTTAGTTGGTGCAGAGCCCAAAAAGGGGTTGAGACCTGGATCAATTCCTGTTTGCTTCCACTATAATGGACCTTCAGTCATAGCTCCTCAATCCTTTATTTTCAACAGTGGGGAATAATTCAGTTCTACAATTTTTTTTTTTTTAAAAGTCAAAACTAAGGATGTAGAAACTCTTTCTTCCTTTCACATGGATCCTTTTCATAAGTGGAATAAGAATTTCAGGATGGACCTTGAAGATTTTTCTCATTTTATTCTGCTAATTTTACTGCATCCTCACTCTTACATGAACCAGTTGCTAGAGTATAATATTATACCCATGGGGCATTGTCATCTCAGTGACCATTCTTCCAATGTAATTCTTTTGCTATGATAGCTAACTATTTGACAACAAAGACTTTAACAGTTATTCTCATCTAGTGTCCATGTATGTAGGTTTCTAGATGGGTTACTGAGAACTGATTATAAATGGGAACACTGGCCCAATTTTTTTCCACTTCATAAGCTGGGATATTGAGATCAATTATAATGCCTTTGCTGCTACCCTCGCAAGTTAAGCTAACTTAGCACAGACAAAATACTGGTTTCTATGGTTTACTCCCTCAATCCCAAGGCGAGTTTAATATTAAAGTGTCATGGTGTAACTCAGTTCCAAGATTAAGGACATTTTCCATGATCATGAATTCTTGCCAGTGTTTTCATTTGCTGATTAGCTGGTTGGTGAGATTTTTTTAAAGGGATCTTTTGACTGAAAGTCCTCAACAAGAGGCATGACACCAGGGTTTGAAATGGTGCATACTTCGACAGCACCAGAAGGTAAAAAAGTTTGTTGACTAGCTCAGGAAAGAGATTTGTGATGATGTAGTCCTTCGAGTGATATTGACATGGACTGCAGATGCTGAAAGCCAGAGTCTATAGGTGTGAGGCTGGAAAAGCACAGCAGGTCAGATAGCATCTGAGGAGCAGGTAAGTCAATGTTTTGGGCTGAAACCCTTTGTCAGGACTGGGGAGAGGGAGGAGAGTCCAGAAATAAATAGAGGGGGGGGGGGGGGGGGGGGGTGGGGGTGGGGGGGAGGAAGGGTAGGAGAGATGGTGATAGGTGGATGCAGGTAGGGGGTTATTATGATTGGTCAGTGGAAAGGGTGGTGCAGATAAGTGAGTAGGAAGAATGACAGGTTGGGTCACGTCAGGAGAGGGAGGACTTGACATGGGATAAGGCTGGGATGAAGGGATTTTGAAGCTCGTGAAGTCAATTTTAGGGTCATTGGACTATAAGCTTCAAAGGCGAAATATTGTTCCTCCAGTTTACGTTTGGCCTCACTCTGACAGTGGAGGAGACCAAGCACGGACATGTGGGAGGGGGAATTAAAATGGATAGCAACTGGAAGGTCAGGCTGGTTGCTGTGTGCAGAGTGCAGATGCTCTATGTGCAGCTCTGTAATAAACAAGTTTCCTGAAAGAGTCTTTGCTGATCTTATTACAAGAATTCAATTGCTATGCTTTGAGGGTGAAACTTGCTCTTTTTAATCTGTTTTTGCTTTCCTTTCTTGGATGCCCTTGCACTGCAGCAGACCTGAACAAGGTGTTGAATGGTGATCTGATTATTTAACCTTCCATCAATATCTTACTGAAACAGGTCACAAACAGGCAGAAGAAAATGCCTGAGGTAACATTTATTTTCCCTCCCTTCCCCTCACTCTCATGAGAGAAAATACATACCTCCTCTTCTCTCCCTTTTTCAGTGGTGTTAATCCAATTGGAAACTCTGTGATTAGAGACAGTGATGCTGATCTGTATTATACTGGTCTGTGGAGCAATACGCTGAATAGAACATTCATTGTTACCATGTACAAGAATATGAGAGTCGTGTAGCCAGATTTTTCAAAAGACAGACTATAAGACCTTTTACATAGGTAAAAGGTAGCTAAAGCAAACAGCTCCTGAGAGGCAAAGATGGCATAAATTATCATGAGGAAATAGCAGAGGTATTGAACAAATGTTTTGAGTCAGTTTTCACAGGAGTCAAAATTACATACAGTATCAGAAATAAAGAATAACCAAGAAGTAAATAAGTGTGAGGAATTTAAGATTATTAATATCAGCTGAAAAAGAGCCTTAAAGAAACTTAAAGCTGACAAATGCCTAGCTCTTGATTATCTACACCCTAGTGTTCTAAAAGTAGCTGCAGTTGATACAGTGATAGTGGATATATTGACTGATTTTCCAAATTTCTGTACATTTCAGAATGGTCTTAACAGATTGCAAGTTAGTGAATGTAATTTTGTTATTCAGAAAAGAAAGAAGAGAGAAAACTAAACTTTAGGCCAGTTAGCCTGATGTTAGTCATTAGGCAAATGATGGAATCTATTAATAAAGAAGTCTTGATGCGACTCTGTCTGATCAGAATGTAATTTTCAGTGTGGTTTTATGAAAACAAAAACACATGACAATTTTATTTGAGTTTATTAAGGATTTTGCCAGTAGGATATGGGAGCACTAATAGATTACTATACTTGGATTTTCAAAAGACATTAAATAAGACTAACATTAAGGTTAACATGTAAGAAAACAGCTCTGGAATAATATATAAGCATGCACA